AAAGAGTCCACTCTGCCTTATGTTTGCCTGGTGAGGGCTTTCAAGAATATTTGATTTTAAGATAACATTTTTTTCACTTGATTGATATGGAAATATTTTATTTTAAGTGTTTGGTTTTACCAAGACATTACTTGCTCTTCCTAAGCTACCCATAAATATTCATCCCTCCTCTAATATGACATATTGCTCCTGATCCACCAAAATGAAGAGAGAGGAAGCACAATATAGATGAAACTAAATGGAAGAGTCATGAACTTCATGAGAAAGCAAAATTATGAGTTTGAGAAATAAAATGGTTTTCCTTTTAAGAGATCTTTGACTGCTTTTAAAATCTCACCAAACTTGCACATCTATACAATGCTGATGTTTTGCCTACCTGTATGCAACTTGTTAAAAGCTTATTTGCTTATCCAGTGAAGTCTTCCCACAGATGGAAATGCTTCAGGGTCATGTGAGCTGAGTAGTTGCTGGGTGCTGGGGACTGTTTCCAGAGCTGCACAGTTCCAGAACTTTTCACACAGCTGAGTAGAGAGGTGAGCTTTCTGGAAGGTTTATAATATAGCAGGTTTGAGGACATATCAAGGAGACTAAATAATCACCTTTTCATTTCAGAGAAAGCAGTTGCAAAAGAATATCCTCTTTGTGCATCTGATGGAGAGACAAGGCGTCATCCCTCATCACTTCTGTTTTATCCAAGGCAAAAGCACTAACCCCTGTTGAATGCAGGGATCTTGTGTTCAGCAGCACAGCACTACAAGAGCAATGAGCCTTGCTCACAGGAGGAAGAAACCTTACAGCAAGCAGTGTGAAGACTCACTGTGAGCAGGACTAACACCCTTTTCATGGTAGCAGAGCACATTTCACTCCACGGGAAATGAAGATACCATATCATCATGGAAGGACGTTCTGTGCTAAGTACCTCTCAAGAGGGGTTTCCTTGGACTTAACCTGAGCCACCTGAAAGTCAGGTGTCTAATCTAAGCAGATGTGAAAAGAGGCTGGGATAAATCACTGTCTGGAGGTGCCCATTTCTCTCCATTGACTTCAGGGACTGTCATAATGACTGCAATGCCTTTCAGATGGTTAAAATTAAGTAAGTTGAATCCCAGCCTATTGCTTCATCTTCTGTACAAAAGCACAAGGATGTTGCTTTTTTTTTTCTTTCTCTCTACAGCTGCACCAAGATTTTTTTGGTTGATTTTCTCTTCTTTTTTTTTTTTTTTTTGTGCCAAGCATGCCTTGGCTTTCCTTTAAAACTGTCAGTGCTCAGGGACGTTAGATAAGAGGTGGAGAATTGAATAAAAGGAACAAATTACAACAAAACATGCCTCAGTGTGTTGAGACAGAATATGTTACAGCAGGCCAATGATAAGTATATGTCCCATGTGGGGAATCAGACATGTCAGGAGATGTGATGGATTAGATCTCTAGTGGTCTGTTGAGAAGGTCAATGGCTGGAGAATATGACACCACCTATGTAATTCTGAGAGATGAGAAGGTGAAAGAGCACAACAGAAAATGTTTTTATAGGATGAAAAAAACCCCTAACAACTAAGCAAATAATCTATATCTGTTAGCATAATTTACTCCTTCAAATATACATGCCTAATTGCTATGTTAAAGGTGTAAGTTATTTTTACTATCTATAAATTTTATTCTTTGATGAAATGCAGATATTAATGGGCTAATATGGTCCTTTATCTTGTGAATTATTGAGAAATTATAGACACTAGTCAAATTTAAAATGAAGCCGATGAACGACTATTTTCTTATGATTATCTTGTTTTTATGAATATTTTTTTTCTGACATGATCAAATATAAATTCAATATTTTAATATAATTTTTAGCATCTCTCAGACGTTTTTACCATTCTCCTTATCCTGGATATATGGTCCATCATACATGTGCCCCTGAATTTGAGAACAACTGATCAAACCAGCCAGGTGCTAGTGGAAGTGCCCCATAGATTGTACTGGATCAATCCAGAGGATCAGCTGGGAGGTAGTGGTCACTGAAGAGAGTGATCTGGGCAAGATGTTGCCTTGCCCACCCCTTCATCATGCTATTGCAAAGTTAATTCTACCAGTTTGTCACTTGGCTCCCTCTCATCTCCTCATCATCCCACTGCTGTCTTTCCTTTTTATATCACATCAAATGTGAAGCACTTGACTTCACCTTGAAAGCCCTTAAAAGCTTCACCTTCCCTACAGATCGTCTTTAATTCACAGAAGGTGTCAGCTCTCAGCCCTGATAGGTCACTGATGCCAGCTTCGACATTCACTTGTTAAAATTTCAAACAGGCTCTTTCATGTCCTCTCCCGTGCTGCCTCTGAGGAGCTTGCTGTAAACCTCCATGAAGCTGCCTCATTACTTTCCATCAAACATCTCTGAAAGCTCCCTCTTGCAAGGGTGCCAGTGACAATCTCCAGAACAATTAGGCTGCTGCCCTGCAGATTCCGCTTTTAGCTCTACCTCCCACCCTGTGTCTCATTGTTCCCTTCTCCTACCCAGACAGTTGCCTCTTCTCTCATGGTGTTAGGCTTTTGGCCTTTTTTTTTTCTCCTGACTTTGTACAGTGCCCAGCAAAATGAGGTCCTGATCCATGACTCTTGAGCTCTGTAGTAACAGTGACTTGTAAGAATAGAAATACAGCTAGCACTCGTGAGTTTGGTTATTAAAGGCTTTACGGTAGAGAGCTTTGATTAAGTACAGAATTTGTCAAATACATGCATTGTTTAGTAAAATGTGCTTCTGTCCAATTGATTTCAAATGGAGATAGCATATAGTTGCTTTTAAGTGTATAGTTAAGTATTTGGCAGAATCAGGTTGTAAACAAATTGTAATTCTCATTCAACCAGCCAAGCTGTCTTTGCATTAGTGTATTCAGATCTTTCATTTGCAGCCTTGTTCTTTCAGTTACATGCAGATACTTCAAAGAAAATGCCATGGGCACCAAAGCAATTAACTATAGAGGAAGAAGGCAGAGCAGGCCTTGTTCTAGGGCCAGCGTTCAGGAAGAAGGCCATCCACTGGAGGTTAATTACAAATAATCTCTGTTTTTGTGTAGCTGCATTTATGCACATGTGAATACAATTAAAAGAAAGTAGAAAATGATATGTGGAAATCAAAGGGAAGCTGGAGACCTGGAGAATGCAAAGTCTGAAAATTTTCTAGCACCTCTAAATATGCTCATGCAGTCCATCATGTTGGACAACAAGAACACATTCATCTTCTAATAGACCAATGTGACCTCTGTAATTTACTCCATATCCTGAATGCTGGAGCACACTCCAGAGTGGAAGCAAGTGTGTTCTGTAAGCAGAGACTACTGCAAAGGAGAGTATTATTATGCTGCTTTGAATTTGTGGAATAAAATACCCTGAGAGCAATATACTAGGAGAACAGTGGAGGGTATATTCTACGGAGATGTAAAATGAGAGTTATGGCACTCCAAAAATTTCTGTCTTACTTGTGGTATGCCAAAGTGATGGTATTTTGGATTCTGTTGGGGCTTAGGGTGGCGATTATGCACTCTGCTCATCTCAGGTTTGTATTTTGGATGCTGCAAAGTACAAAAACAAAAAATGAAGTAGCGAAAGTTTAAAGAAATCTAAATGAACACTGTAGGATGAGTGCATGCTGAAGGGCTTACATCTGGGCTGGATTGAAATCTTATGTCTCTCTTGGCACAGCTGTAGTGAGCCAGGATATCATCTGAGCTTGCGGGATTGATTCATCTGCATCTACTAGTGACTGTTTGCACATCTGTCAAGCTTGCTCCTTTTGCCAAGTAACACAACTCCACACAGAGTCCAGGCTCCTGCTGCTCCAGCCCTGCCTTGCCGACTGCTCTGCCATTCTCTGCTGAATATTCAGCCCCAGGGGAGCAGCGGGTCGACTCCGGTGTTCTCAGTGTCATGTGGCAAAGTGCTGTGAGAGCAGTACGCAGATCCCACCTCTTCAGAGTACTTTCCCCCTTTTTTTTAACCGTAAACAGCCTTTCTGCTTTGGTCAGAAAGACCTCAAGAATATAACAGAGAATCATCTGTCTTTTTTAAGGTAGCTCATTAAACATTAGCAAGAATATTCATTTCTGCATGTTTCTAGAGTAACTTCTTTAAAACATTATGTAATCTCTACTCAGTTATTTGGACTTTCTCTGTAAAGTTTGGAAGCAGCTGTGAGGAGTGTAGGTCTGTCTGTACCATAGTATCATGAAACATTTCAGCTTGTCATTTTTCAAGATCATATTGAAAAAATCTCTATATTACTAACTGAAAGTAGCTTGTACTTAGGGGATGACCCTTAATAAAGGATAATAAGATTATTCCTTATTCACTAGTCATTTCTGGTTATCTTATTAGATAAAAGGTACCTAAAATGTTTAAGAAACGGTAGGAAAATGAATGGAAAACATAAAGGATAAATGACAGGCTAATGAGGTGCACCATTTCCTGAATGTGACAAATTTTGTAGCAAATTAATCAAATCAGGAGGCTTTAGGCTGTAAAAATCCAGTTTTTATCCAATAGAAAGGCTGGTGGGTGTAAATCTCCATTCAGGAAAACAACACATTTTCTTGTGATCTTCATATTTTTGGAACACAGCTGCAATGATTCTAAGTGGATTTTTCTGTTTCAGAGCTGTTGGGAGAAGATTGCATTCAGAGGTCGTTCTACTCCTGGAAAAGTGACATTAGTTGGCATAAGTTGGAATTGTAGCTGTACAAATACAAAACCAAAAAAAGACTGTTCCTCATAGGTCACCATATGGCCAAGAAAGATCCTTCATTTGTTATCCCTCCAGTCAAACGGCATCAGGGCCATGAGGGCACTAACAAGCCTAAATGGCCCTGACCTACCTCACCTGAGGCCTCCATGCACATCCTGCCAGTGAGCCCAGGGGCTCCATTTCAGCTCAGGTCTTGGTACAGGTCGTTGCCTGAGCTATGTTTCAAGTAAACCTGTATTTCATCCTGTCTCTCGTTTTTTTCTTTTCCCTGAATGGACCTTGCACCTGCATTGCAGCCTTGTCTCCAGCCCTACTTCTGCCTTCATCTCCTGCTGCTCCTAGTGGCACTCCCTGGATGAACCGTTGGCCTAATTTATCACCTTGCCTTGCCTGAGACTGCTAACAAAGCCCCTCCCTATCGCTGTGGCCATGGCCCTGTGCAGATCCCATGGGCCTGCTCTCTGGCTGGGGAGGGCACTGCCCTGCCTATTGAAGACCAGCAATGCACAGTGTATGCTTTAAGAGCTAGTCTTCTGGTTGCACGTCTCTTCTGAGCTTGATGGACCTCTTCCCATGAGTCATCCCCTTGACAGCAGTGACTTGTGTGTGTGTGTGATCCTGTAAACAAGTGTTTCGTGCTCTGATCCCCAAAGCTATGGTTTAACGAGCTATTGAAAAGCAAATGCTTCCTGCTATAATACATGGAATTTTGTGTAGTGTTGCAATGGGGCAGCTGTTTTTAAAGTTTAATATATTTCAGGGGCGTGCTCTCGGGGCTGCCCTAACATTAGGAAGTTTTTCTTCCTAGAACCTAGGAAAAACCTTCTTAGTCAGATCTTCAAATGAACTTAATTTTCTTCACTTTTGTGTATCTCGCATTGAACACCCAAAAGCCACTTCCAAATATATTGTAGCACACAGGCAATCTCATATATTCACACAGTAACAGGCTTACTCATGTCCACAGTAAAAGGCTAGTTATGCAGAAAATTTAGGGAAGACACGTATCATAGAATTAAGTTTGAAGCCAGTTGAGAAATACGTTTAAGGAAGAAGATGAAAGCAGGAAGATCAAGAGTACCCAGAAAAAATTGCATAGAATAGATTGATAAATACTCACAAATATTTTGCATTCTGTGATATTCTACATATGTGTAAGATTCCAGAAAAAGAATCTTACAAATATTTACAATATATTACAAATATTTACAAAATAGAAAATCTATTTGCGTTGTTGTCTGCAGACTTCTACTTCATCTTTTGTTAACATCATATCTTGATAAAAACACAGGAATTTGTCCATAAAAAAACATACTAAGGGTTCCTTTAGAGCCCATTCCCAGTGCTGCTGGGAATCACAGAAGGGCAGCAGCTCCTCTGAGCACAAACCAGATAGAGAAATCACAGAGTGCTGCAGCATCGAAAGCTTCTTGTTGATCTTAATCTGTTTCACTAATCATTCATGATATAACATATTGAATCAAGCTGCATCTTATATAAATACTTTTCTTTTTTTTCATTTTGTATGGTAATTATGTCTTACAGCACTTTTTTAGTTGAGAGTTATTTAAAGTGAGGTGCTTTGGTAAAACTAATAGCCTTAGTTAGATGGCTGACAAAGCATCACTGATCATGGAAAGTAAATGGTATCTATCCATTTTTCATGTCTTGTTATAAAGAGATAAGACAGTATGCAAAGTGATAAAAGAGCTTAGGAATAAAAAGCAAAACAAAACAAAATAGGAAGTCCAGACAATGTTTTATGTGAAGAATGGAAACAAAAAAATTTACTAATTTCACTAAATGAGCCTCACTCGGTCATCTCACTTAACAGTAAATTAAAGGATAAATTCTATTGAACGTGCACGGTGAGTAGTGAGCACAAAGGACCATTGTAAATACCAGATATTGTGAACTTACTTACTATATATTTGTAGAAAATGCAGTTGATTTCATGGCAATTAATGTATTATTTATGTTTCTTTTTTAATTAAAAGGGAGATGAACTGTATATATTTTTACTGGTATGTACTAGTATAATGCAAAATTTAGAAAAATCAAGTGAAATAACATTTCAAACTAAAATTAAGGCTTGTATCAATCACAAAATATCAAAAAAGTTATTCTGACAAGATGCAACATTTTTTTCTTCATGTTTTTATTTCAAAATGAGATTCTGGCAAAACCTCTGTGATTTCCCTAGGTATTTCGTTTTTGGTGAAAAAGGCATATGTCAGTGGGTTATGATTAAGTTCATTAAGTTTTGATGAGCTTTCTTTGTCATCACACAAAGGCCCATTCACATGACAGGGGCTGTGTTATGTCAGTAGGAGCTGCACTCCCGACTGAATGTAGCCGTATGGCTACTGTTCTATATTGATACATTTATGTATAGTAATTCATGTACATTCATTCACCTATACATTCATGCATAGACTCATGAAGTGCACTTCAGATGAAGCTACCTGAAAATTAGAAACCAGAGTTTACAGCTATGTTAATTTTAATATATTAATTAATTCGTTGAACCATTGTTGTCACTATTGGCTTCCGGCCTACGGCAAAAAAGTACCTAGAATCTCTCTGGTCAGTGTTACAGAAACCATCAAATGACTAAGAAATAAATAAATTTGAGGTTACATACTTATCCCTTACACTTTTATTTTGAACTCTTTTATATTGCCTCTGGATAAGTGCTATCTCAGAGAGTGCTATCTCTAGATTAGTTAAAAAGCAAAAGAAAAAATACCCTAATAAGCTCAGGTTCCTTGTCCCAATTAGTGGGAAAACACACTATGTCAGATCCCATACAGTGTGAAAAAAACATTGATTTAATCCAGTTTCTATCTGCAATTTGAAGTAGGGCAGAATGTACACTGCCTGAAGCAGAGAAGGTAGATAGCTTCTAAGATGACTTGAGAAAGAAAGAAAAAGTATTGGAAATTTATTCTAAGTGAAACAAAGATATAATTCAGGACTGGACATCATGCAATATCTATGCACAGATGGTCTGCTTATTTAGTAAAGGAACTACATAACAAACCTATTTTTCAGGTCTTTTTACTTCACATTTCTCAGATTTTGTCTCCGAAGCCAATGTAATTTGAAAAGACTGAACTATAATTTTAGTAGCAACTGCCTTTTAAAAGAAATTGATTCATCCTTCCTCTTGCCCTCAAGTCGACTTCCAGTGTAGGCACTCTGAAATACCATAATTTATGGAAGCTGTCAGTGTGGTCCATTAAATTGGTCTGGACCAAACAGTCTGCTAATGACACTGAGCCTTGTTGGCTGTTATTAACGATTATCTCAAATAGTGTTTGATAACCTTCTCACATTGATCACAGTATTGTCTCCTTTGTTCTTCTGGCAGCATCTGTGTTTGTCCCTTCTGTGATGCTTTTCTCCAGTGCATGTTATTGGTGGAAGATGAGCATCCTTTTTTGGA